GATGTCCACATGGCATCAGCGCGGCTGAAAGCAGCATCAGAGCTGTAAGAGAGCAAATTGTGATTCTGGACACTCTTCCTCTCCCCAGGAAGCTGGAACACAAGCCCAGATCACAGCTGCTTCTTTCTTGTCCACGCTCAGTTTATTGAGCTGAAAGTGCTCCAGCTGACAGCAGCTCCAAGTTTTTAGCTGCTCACACCTACTTGGTAGCCCTTCGCGATATGGGTTTAATCAGTCTCTGCTGAATTTCTTACGGGCAGATGGAGCACGGTACAAAAATATCACCGCACTAACGAGCCTCCATCTTGGCAGTGGGCCTGATTCTGTGGAGGATTCACTGAGGCACTAAGCATGACGAGGGCTTTCAGGGTTTATGCAAGGTCATATGGAAGTTCTGCTGATGCTGTCTTATGAGTAAAGGAAGGACTCAGCAGAAATGGTACAGTCTGCACTAAAGTCCTAATAAGTTTATTAATTGTCCTGAAAACTGTCAGACAAATGGTTGAGTTGTTTTTCTGGAGTGAGCAATCTGACATGGAAGCTTCCTGCCAATAGGGTAACATCAGGAACAGGACACTTCTCAACCCACTCTCCACAAGCATTCAGTTTGCCTTAGCTGCAAATGTTAAACAAACAGTAGTGTTGATCTTACCTCCCCATTGAGAAAACAGTACAGAACAGCCACCACAAATCCCTACGGAAAAGGAGAGAACAGGCTTTTAGCACCTTATAGCTGATATTCCCCTAGATCCCAACCCAAACCCACTGCAGCCTTGGAGAAAGGGCGCACCGCTGGGGGACTGCTAAGGTGCCCCTTAGAAACCACTCGACTGCATTTTCCCTATGAAAGGGGCAGGGCAAGACTGATTAAGGTACCTTGCAGCAGATGTATGGGTGTGAGCTCAAAGATTGCTCCCGACTGGGGTTTAAAGCCATCACCAGTCAGCTCAGGTCTAAAGAGGGGCACTTGGTCATTCAAACTTTGCTGCTTGCTCTCGTCAGCTGAAACTGGGGAGATCTAAACATGCTCACTAGAACATCATCAAGGTCAGAATGATCTTAGATGTGGTATGGGGCTAAACTGTTCCTTTTCCATCTCCCCTGCAGTGACACCTCATTTTCACAAATCTCAGCTTTCACTGAAAAAAACCCACAAACTTATCTCTAGACCTTATGGTTGCAAACACTAAAGACAAGAAGTGAATGTAGGTCCACTTATCTCTCAAAGGAGAGACGCCAGATGTGAAGCTATAATGATGTAGACAAAGACCTTAACTCATTCACCACTGAACAAAGCATGCCACTGACACATGTATGGCACTTGGTGTCAAAGAGATCCTGCTTGCAGGCTCTGAGAAGAGAAAGTGGCTGGAGGTGATTAATGGATGGATGCAATGGGTTGGAATACATAAAGAAGTGCTTCTTTTTATGCAGCAGCAGGGCCAAGATTTAACAGCCCAACATGGGAATTGGCTGAATTGAAGTGTGTAGAGGGGTCAAAGAAGCAAACTTCATCAGGGCTTCCTGAAGATTAATGCAGAGAACAGCACCATTATCCACCTCGTGGCGAACCTGCCTCCTACACCAATGAACTGGAATCCTGCTTGAGCAGGATCTACAGGCATGACTTGGTTTATTAACAAAGGAGAAAGTTGATGCAAGTCAACTGGTTGAAGACAGACTAGGCTCCTGTTAGTGGCCAGAAAGACATTCCTCCCAAAGGTGATTTATCTCATCTTACACCATGTCAAGGATATATAAATGGAACTGAGGTGCTAATTTTTCTCCCTTAAGTGCAAAAAACCTAGGGGGTCTAACTTATAGAGGTACATTTTCTTTTCAGGTGCCTAAAATGAGAAGGAAGAATCTCCTTCTGGAGTTCCGTGAGGCAAAATATAAAATTATCCTCCATCCTGGCCAAGCTGAAGCAAGGAGCTTTTTCCCCAAGGGTGTAAGAGCAGTATTGGGCATGTCCAGGAAAACCTTGGCTCACATGTTTGCTTGTTTCCTTGTCAAGCTTGTTACACTTCTTTCTGCCAACAGACCTGGTGACTGACTGGTGGCCCAAAGGGTGGCTTACCTGGAACGACCCAACCACGAGCTCAAAGACCAGCTTAACTTCTGCTTTGAAATTGTCAGGGAAGAAAGCAAACATGATGTAGTGAATGCCAAAGAGAGGAATCAGCAGCAAGGTGGACTTGGCCAGCCTCCTGTTGGAAAGACAAACATGAGTCATAAGGGGAGAGGGAAGAGGAGCTAAAGGGTAAGCCGATGAGAAATCCTGCAGCTGAGACCTATGCAACCCCAACACTTTAATTTACTGCAGTACATATCCATTGATTACCTGGATCATGATGGCGTAGCCTGTATCATGCATGTTAAGTGCCTTTGTTTGCCCTTAGGAGATGTGAGATGGGCCTTACTTACCCCGAGGTCCTGGGAACATCCAGCCTTTCAACAGCAGCCTCAAGCAAGGCAGCATCAGGAGGCTGCCCTTGCCCAGAGGGGAAAAAGTGTCTGGGGTACAGTGAAATGGAGGGTTTTGAGATAGCTCCACACATCCTAACCTCCCCAGGATCCCTCTGATTACCTGGGCTGGGATGCAATGACATTGGAGGTGGACCCTCAGCTGGGCATAGCCAACGTATGGCAGTTCAAACTAACCAAGGACCATGCTGGGATCGTTTCCACAGGCTTTCCTCCTTGTATAAATACATACGTGCCTCCAGCTGAGGCAGAGTAATCAGCCCTAGATTATTTCTCCTTGGCCTGCAGACTGCAGATGGCTGGTGATTTCAGATGTGGTGACAACATAAAATGTGACATCTTTATTCCGAGTTACTTCAATGGAGGTATTTCTTTCTTCCTTCTCTCTTCTTCCCCTCCCACCGGAGCTTTTTTCATCTCTACAAGCTAAATCATCATCTAGCGCTGTCTTTGTTTGCTTGGGATTTCTGAAAATTACAGCTTCTGGGAGAGAAATGGTATGTTTAGCTCAGAATAATGACAGGCTATCGCACAATGAATGTCTCCAAAGGAGGGAGATGAACAGTATTAGTGCTTAATGGCATCAGGCTGGGTAATAAGAGGTCTAATTAAGAAGAGATGATAATTTATTAAATTTAATCATTATTAAAATATAGCTGATGGAAATAAAATGAAATCAAGGACCTAAGGATGCTTATGGCCATTTTGCATCCCTTGGTCACCTACAGCCTCCTGTGTCCCCCTCTCCCAGAGGCTTCTGGAGGAATTGAAGCTAAGGCTGGGATGTTGGAAATACTTGTTCTACCATCTGCAAACCCTTCACCTCCAGAGTCCCATCAGGCTCAGTCCCCCCCGGACCATCTGCATTTGTTTGCCATCTGCATAAGCCCGCTAGGAAGGCTGATGTACCAGCTTTATGCAGCTGATCCTCATCACTGTATCTCCCAGGAGACCTTTCCAGCTTTCCCTGGGCCTGGCCCAAAGACAGATTGGCATTAAGGTTGTGGCTGGAGGCTGTGGTTCCCCAGGGAATACCTGGTGGCTGAAAAGCAGCTGGCTGCCACTCATTCCAGGCAAAACGAGTGCCTGTAGGAAGCCAAGGAACGTTCCAGGAATTCACCTTTCCTATCACATCCCTCGCTAGTGGGCACATCCCTGCTCATAGTGAGTAGATCCAAAATCTGAGTCCTCTTGGATGTCTTGCTCTGCCAGAGGACTGTCACTGCCATTGGTGACCATCAGGGTACCATGTTCCTCCCTGTCAGAAGCAGCTCTGGCCAGTGTGACCCACACTAGTATGACTCAGCCCTAATTCCCCCAGCTCCTGACATATGAGAAAGCAACTCGTTTTCTAAGCAGATCACCGTTCATTGAATATTAATACTGGCTTTGCAGAGATCTCTCCTCTCTCCTCAGTCTTTCAGAAAAAAGTTGACCTGGAGAAGATCAATGTGATGCTACCTTTGTATATCATACTCAGAGAGAGGCTGTTTGCAACCTCCAAAGCATTAGAAAATTTTATCTTATTGTTGCAGACAACGCTGGGGCCTCAGTAATAGCATTTTTCATCCTGGCTGGACTGTGGCAATGAACAGGACCTATATGCAAAATCTTAGGAGACCCCTCTCCAGTTTGCACAACTCTTGCCCCCCACATTGAGCTTCCCCAGAATATTGAGATGTTTTAGATCTCAGATTGTCTTCAAGGATCCCCCTGAATACCACAATGAGGAAAATCATCTTCCCCAGTTATGGTGTAATTTCTGCCAGGAGGCTAAAGCCTGGCTTTGCAGACAGCAGAACTGCTTGGGGGATTGTCCAAAGCTTTTTAAAGCTACCTGCTGGAAGCCATGGCTTCTCCAACAACTTATTACATCCACTCCCAGCACTGGGTGCACTTCTCAGACCCACCCTTTCTGACCAGATAATACATGGTGACACGTAATTTAGGGAAAACACATCTCCACTAGCCCTCACTGAACCTAATCCTCTCCTTGGGAGCGGATAAGAGTGACCCATCACTTTAGTCATGCTCCTTGAACGCATAACGGAAAAGTTACCCAGAAAACTTTGATGATAATATTGATCTATGAACATGTACAGAATAGGAAGAGATGAATTTTGCTCAAGATTTCTGTTGCAGAAAACAACTTCCATTTGCCTGAAATGTTGCTGTCCTATTCTTGCACACGTCTCTGTCATTTCCAGAAAACTGTTTTGGGAGACTTGTTTTCACAGTTTCCAATACATTAAAGCCCAGATCGCTGTCTGCAGCATTAATGAGTGAGTCAGCAACGCACCTGAACTTCCAGCCTGCAGCTAAACTGAAGCCGGTTGGAATGGAACAATACTGTCAACATGTCAACGTGTTATTTTTTTATAAAATAAACAATATAAAATAAACAAGAGAAGGAGGGAGACATGCAAATGAGAGATCCCTGATGTTGCTAGTTTAAGACATATTTATTTCAGATTTGGCAGGAGGAACCCACACATATCATTAGCAGCACTTTTTCGCTAAGATCTCTTGGGTCCTGCAGGCCAATCCCCTGAAGCTAGCAGCATCATTTCAGGTAATAAGGGAACAACACGTAAAAGAATCCAGGCACCTACAATTGCAGGTCACATGCCTGATGGCATTTATAAAAGGGTCTGGACCCCAGATGTCCCTACAGCTAGCTGTCTACACATTGAAAATGTAGAACTGCACTGAGAACTCCCTTTGGTGAGATCCAGCCTTCAGATTGGGACACTTAATATTAATTTCCATAGGAAAGCGTGGTGTGTCACATCCCACTGCAGTCAATACAGTCAACGGAGACTTCCAGAGGCCCTAGAGAATCTGGCTGGTGGCCAGCTGCCACTGTATAAGGGTACAAGTCTCCCACAGGTCTTGGGCCATATATGCCAGGTCTAAGCAAGTATCTTAAATGTCCTAAAGCATCTCATATGGATTGGTCACCTGTAAGTGATTCATGCCCTAATGGAACTGAGATGTTTTTCCAAGCGGAGGAGGAAGGGGAGGAGCTGAAGATGTGAAGATCACTTCAGCAGTGCCTCCTGTTTGGCAGACCAGTGCGCGGAAGTCTGTGTTAGTGCCCTGACGCACTACATTTGTCACTTGTGTTTACAAGGCAAAGAGAGCTTTCCTGGCAGCTCCTGCTTCATTGGAAAATGTGAAGTAAAAAGTCCTGAACCCAAAACTCAGCATGACATCCGAGGTAATCTGGGCATAACCCTTCCAATACATGTTGGCAGCACCTCTACTGAGATGAATGGGAGCCAACTGCTCCAGGCTGCTGCTTAGTACTAGAACATATTTCAATATGCTGATTTAATCTATGTACCTGGCCAAAGCTGTTGCAATCCTGGGGGTACAAAGATACAATGCCCAATTGGAAATATATAAAGGGGGGTGATAGAAAGCACGGGGTCTGGCAATGGTGTTGTGTTACGATGACAGAAAAAGAGGTAATTGGCTCTGGCTGCTGCAGGGAGAAGTTAAGGTCAAAACCTGGAATTTCCTACCATAAATCTGAGAATCTCTCTCGGCCAATGAAATGCATAATTTACCGTCACCAGAGAGAAAGACTCAGTGTCATGGCTGGTCAGTATTTAAGGGCCATATTGCTATTGTTTTCCATCTTGCAGAAAGATAACTAAGCTCAGATTCTTCAGGGTACCAAACTGCACAGCTCCCTCCAAAGACAAGGATTTATGAGCAGTGATCATAGAGACACTGGGCTTTTTTCCTTTTCAGTTCTTTTCTAGGACACGTTTAATAAATATCCAGGATAGTTGATATGCTGAGCCAGGACAGTGGCAAGAGTCAAAAATAAGCCGGTCTGAACTTTTATTTTATTTGCATTAAAGCCAGAATAAATCCAAGCAGATAGACAGATTTCTCGCACTCTTAAAATACTGCAACTAAGACCAGTCTTGGCCACTGCGACAGATGCTGATCTCACTTGCATGTTGTTAGTTGTAAAAAGCCTCATAAAGGTCAACCTTATATCCCTGGTATAAAAGCATTATGTCAAGCAAAACTTCTGAGACAGTGCTACTTCTCAACAGTGAAGGGAAATGCATTAAATTAATCCAACCTAGTTTAGGGGGCTGCTCTAGGGTAAGGCAAATTTGCCATAGATTCTACTGAATGTACTGATTTTCTAGATCTCTCCTTCTTTGAAAAAGGGAGCTGAGTGCTAGTTCACAAAAAAAAGCTCATATACTGTGGACAGCTACTCTTGCTTCTCCGTAAGCGTCCCTCTGCCTTTAGAATCCAATAAACATTAAATATACAAAGAAAAATCCTATTTTCTTTCGTGATCTTTACTGTTGCTCTCACTTCTTCATCTTTAATCCCAGGAGAAAGCCTTCTGGCCTGTCTGTTCAAAATGACATAAAACATGCGCAGCCGCTGTAGCAAATGCCCCATTTCCTGATTTCTGATCAGCTTTAATCAATTAACAAATACTTGATTCCGATCAGTGCAGACAGATGCAATACTGAACTAACAGCCAAAGAGGTTTCCCTAAAACAATACAATATGGTTAAAAAAGTCTAGGACTTACGAATATTGGCTGGTTTCATTGTGTCCAACATCTGGAGAATGCAACTTTTGGACTAAGATACGGATGATGCAAATGAAGAGGATGAAGTTCACCTGTTGGGATGGGTAGAAAGGAAACAGAGAGAAATACAAAATCAGGATTTTTGTCCAGTGAAAAGAGCCAATGATTAGAGGGGAGTTCCTTTCACTGCAATATTTTTGCCATGGAGCAAGCTGTTGTTAAAAAGCCATGAGCAGAGAACCCCACTCTGGGAGCACATAGTAAACCGACATAGGATGGCAGCCATCTTGGGCCTGACATCAGCCTGCTTGGGACTTTGTGTCATACATCCCAAGTATGATGATGTCAAACCCATAGAGCACAGCTATGCACGACGTCCTGCTGCGCGAGGGAGTGCCGACGACAGGGTGGGAAAGGAACCTTGGGAGTTAGCAGAGCGACGGACGTCAAAGCCCTCAGGAGACGGTGACATGGGACCGGATGCTGAGCATGTCAAAGACTGAGGCGGTGAACCAAGGAAACCAAACCAAAACACAAAGCAGTATCCACTCAAGCAGACCTCTACTCAATGCTATTGGGCATGTCTTCTCTGGAAAGAAGCTGGAGACCTTGTATAGCAAGGGACAGACCTCAGTGACACAGCAGAAAACATTCTCTCCAAGGATGTTAGACCAGAGGAGTCCAGCTAATAGCTAGATTTTAGATGGTACTGCTAATAGCTAAATTTTAGATGGTACTTTTCACTCAAAAAATCTCAAAGTGCTCCACCAACACGCTCAAGCAACGTTAACCTTATTTAATAGCAAAGGTGTAGAGATAGGAATGGCTATTTCCTGAAGGCACGTAGTAGATGGCACGAGTTGAATGCAAATCTACTTGCTTTTAAGGTCCTATCTGTTGAATCACGCTGTTATTCATGCAACATGTACAATAGAAGAGCGATGACAGATTTCTGTGGACTTAGTTTCAGTTTGGCACACAATGTCTTTGTTTATCCTTTCATGGTTAGTGAACGCACAAATGATTCTGATTTTTAGAGACTCAGTGGCTGGAAGGGATTGTGTTAACCAGCCAATCTGATTTCCTGCAAAAGCAGATTGTAAAACTTCCTCCAGCAATTCCAACATTTATCTCCACAACAGGTGAATAAAGTAGACTGAAACACATCTCTCAATTAGACACTCACTCTTTTTTCAAAGGCAATGAGTGATTGGAAATGAATTGCATTTCTTGGTTACGATGCATTGCTTAATCCCTTTTTATCTATCCCATGCCATTTGTCATAGTTTCTGTTCATATTTATTTGCTTATAAAAATGGTTTGTGTCTGACTTGGTGGCAAGTAAGATTTATCAAAACAGCATTATCTAGTTCAATTACTCTAATGAGCATTGATAGCACACCAGCTGCAGCACTGAAGGTAAGACTGGAGCAGTTAAATACCGACTGTGTTGGCTCAAGTGGTCAAGCGCCAACATGGACACAGGGCAGTGATGAGTCAGGTGGAGTATGACTTAGAGGTGTAGTACAGACTTAGATTTGCATGGTAGAAGATATGGCTATCAGGCTACTGGAGGAGTTGTTTAGTTTATTTTTCAACCTGAAGTATTATCAAAGGCACTTGATCTGTTCCCAGTGCTTAATATCTTATATATCTTTTATATTTCTTCCTTCCATTGAGATCTATGGTTTATTCCCACAGATACAAAGAAAATGTTGCATTCCTCCCTGAAGAAACCTGCTGTTCATCACATAGCAGTTATAATGTCCTTCCTCTGTGCCAGATTTATACGATATCTGCAGAAGGAAAATCAGAAATTGCTGGGAAAATTTTGTTTGGCAATGAGAAAATAATTTATTGGCCAAAAGAAATTACAGACTCATTGATCTGAGGAGAACAGGGAGTATTTCTTCACCAAAAGGTTATCTTGGGAAAGGGAAACACTATCTATAGCTTTATATGATGATATAAATATTTTGAGATGTGTCATCTAAGTATTGTATTTCTTTCCAGTGAGGTGAACAGAGTAAGATGTAATTATTCAAACTGTTTCAGTTCGGATCCCTGTATGACAAATGCTACACAAAAAAGTCTTCTTGTAAAGGTCATAATGTACGTGGCATAAGAAGAATGTATGCCTAAGAAAAGATTTCTGTTTAAAAGAGACACATTTGGTTTGATTTCTGTTGCATTCTTTTTCTTCCTTTCCCACATACTTGCTTTCATTTAAGAAAACTCAAAGCTAAGTTTAACTCAAGTTCATTTGATTTCAAGTTTTGGCTTGATACCTGACATAGGAAACACATAATATTCAACAGGGATGGAAGGACTCAGAATTCCTGAGACGTGTTGTGGTTTCTGTGGTCAGACTTGATCGTATCCAGACAAGCAAGAAGTCAAGCACTTCTCTTGATTTATCTGGAAATTAGCCAAGCTTCTCAAGAACTTACTTTAAAAACACATAGCTGGAATCCAACTTTGTACTGGATGCTATAACGAGAGGCAAATATCTGGGGGAATTTATCTAACCTCCTTGTATCTAGGTAGAAATTTATGTAGGACTCATCCCATTTTACTTTATAGTGTTGACATCCACAACTGAACAAGTCATCCTGGGCTCTGCATACGGCCAGCTCAGAGAAACAAAAACATTCATGACGCAATTTATCTGATCGAATTTAGACATCCACTGAGTCATTAGGCAAGATGAGCCTTTCCTGGATATCTAACCATGTTCCTCAACCTCCTCTGGCTACACACACCCACGGCTACTGCTTGAGAGTGCCCAGGGTGACTAGCTGAGATGGAGGTGGTCAGACTTAAATCAAATGAGCTCCACCTTGGTTGTTTAGATACTCAAGCTCTTCCCATGGTCAATGCTTAAAGGTAATGATGTTTATCCAGAGGGTGAGCCTCCTCATCCTAAGACAGACATTCAATATACAGCTGGATTTTATCTGTTAATGCATTTTTCCATGGACATTGACAGAACACTCCGCAACACCCCTTCACCCCCCACACTTAGTATTAAAGATGGCTTTGCAGCCAGCAGAATGTGCTGATACTTTACCAAAATAGACACCAAAATAGGAGTTTTAATGATCCACCAGAATGAAGATTCCACTATTTCTTCCCAGCACCTAAAAAGAAACAAAATCAGACTTAAAACATCAAGCAAAGCAAGCAAGTAGCTATGTAACCTTCTCCAATACTTGGTTTCCCTAAATGCTAAAGATGGCTATGCTAGGTTATATGAAGAGGACTAAACCTGGTGTGCATGAACTGGGAAGGGCTGAAGACTTGTCCTTCAGTGGCTTTAAGTGCTGGTAGGTAGCAGTGGCCCCAGATATAATACTGTGATCTCTTTTCCCCTTGGTAATGGAATAGGCTGGACAATGCTATCTCAGGGTTAATGTGGGGAAGGATGGTGATTCACTTTGTTTCTCCTACACAGAGGTCTGCTACAAGTAAATGCTATCAAACCCCACAGGTTCATGAAGCCTCCAACGCTTTCCACCATCAAGGACAGGGGTTTTGTTAAGCACAGAGCAATTGGCACCATCAATAAAAAACCACATGCCCATCTGTAAAAGATGACGGCCAGTCTATGGTGGGATTAGTCAGGCTAAATCTAGCTAGCTGCATCCGAGTTATGGATCTAGTCAGACAAGTCCATAGCATCCAGGGTGTGATTTATTTAATCCTGAATTCAGAAATGTCTGCACACCACTCACCTAGGTCATCTGGCACTATATTTTACAGCTAACAAGGAAATGACAGAATAGGAATGATGTGGAAACGACTAATATTGCTTGGGACACATTTATCTGCAGACCTCATATGGGTCAGGTGATTGGAGACGCGTTTTTAGGAGACCATTGATGAAAATCGGTCTCCATTCATGTTTGAAGTAGATTAGTGGAACCCATCGTAGACAGTTTCACCTGGATTCAGCTCATCTTTATCAAAATGTTGACAGTGCAAGAAATGGTAGATGAAGAGAAGCACTTTTAGGGCACAGTTCCTGAGATCTATTTTAGGCATCAACTTTAGGATGAAAAGAATTGCACTCCGTGGACTACACCGACTAAATGTCCACTAGCTATAAAAGGAGACTGAAGTGAATTGCTCAGATACAGATGCTTATACTTAGTCAGGTGCATGCTGCCCTTTCATTTAGAACTAAAGTGGCCCTAATTATGTCTAGTGCACTTCATTTTAAAAATAAATTCAGGCAGTCTGAATGAAGGTCACTTTAATTTGGAGTTAGAATGTTTAAATAGAAGCTTAATGTTGTTTAACCAATTTTACATAATTAGGTTTTATTTAATCTGGATTAATTTCCTGTAATTTTTCTCTGTAGGTAATTTTAGTATGCCAAAAAAATCTATGTTAAGTATTAGCATATCCTGTAAATTCACACTCTGTTTTACTTGGCACAAAAACGTAGAGCTTTAAAGCCTCCAGAAAATGCAAAGAAGTCTGCATTTTTATTAAGAATTGCTGGAGCTGAATGGGAATATGTAGTAAGAAGAATTGGTATCCAGACTGTTTAAATCCTTTGGTCTCTATCTCATTGTAGAGGCTATTTATTAACAGAGTAAATAAGGTCAGTTTTATGCAGACAGAGTGAAACCATAAAAAAAAAAGTCCGTAGCCCTCAGGAAATGTGTTAGCATGACTATAAATCAAAAACACAATGAGAAACCTGAGCTGCTTCTCTTACTGAAATGAGGACAAATCAGGACACATTGGGAGAGGGAGAGTGCATGGGAGAAAATGGAGTTTACTATATACTGCAAACGTAAGAAGCGAGGTCATGCACAGGGAGTACATAATTAAGCACCCGATTCTGTAACTCTCTGGCGTGGTTTCTCACAAAAGCCTTTCCAATTACTATAGTTTGACTGCTTGAGTAAAAGCATGAAGGAGGATTGCAGGACACATCCTATTTACTCGCGTATATCCTCTGATATCTGCCTCGTTTACTTAGCTGGATTCTATCTTCTTCTTATATAAAATATCAAAGGCTGCTGCTAGGTTAAAGAGGATGAAGGACAGATCCTAAGATCTGCCTGGGTAAAAAAAAAACAATGAGTTTTTAGGCTTTTTCTGTGGGAGAGCTAACGGGTGTGTTTATTATCTGCTGCACAAGCATATTTAGGGTCAATTTTGTAGGATGCAAAGCTCTGCTCTGACCACGGGGCAGCTCCTCAGCTGATATCTTTGTTATGTACAGGATCACAGGGCCAAACGCGACCATCAGGGTCTGTTCACAAATTCCCTGCAAATACCCTGACCAAGGGATTGGGAAACAAAGAAGGTGAGTGACTGGCCTAAGCTGACATAACCCGTGTGTCTTCAGGGAGCATTTCCCAGTTGATGGTGGCAGGGAAAAGCCTCCGCTCTGCTCTGACTGCCGTTAGGGTTAGGGCAGGATGGCTGGGTTACTAAAACCACAGGGCTTTCCTTGGCCTTCCTTGGAGATAAAGGAAGGAAGAATTACAAAGGAAAGATAATTGAGTCCATAGGCTTACCCAACATCGAAAAAGTAAATCCTGACAATAGTCCAAGCAGTGATGAACACGGAGGGGGCACCTGACAAGAGAAGAGATGGTGTTACTGTCAGAAATCATCACCAGTGCTTTCAAGGCTGTTCTCCCCCACTCTCCATCTCTCCCAAGTGACTGAGGTGATGCCTTCTTTCAACAGTAGGCAAACATTTTGCATTTTCAATGCTCACATGCCAAACAAGCAACACGTTGCCTTTCTCTTGCACCGGCCATGTAAGATGAGTTTCCTGTAGCTGCTCCCTAGCAGATTTGTCTTCCTGTTGCAGTGCCTACAAAAAACCTTCTGATGGGGAAATGCAAGGAATAGGAATCACTTTAGACATCTACAGTGTGGACACCTGTATCTAAGCCACAGGCTCTCTTTAGCATCAACGGGAAGAAATATGTCCTTCTAACACAAAGCTACTTCAGATGTTTGTTTAGGACAAGAAATATGCCCTTGTACTCCCTTGACTGTATTGTCTGGATCTCTACTGACTATAAAGGGAGCCTGGAGTGACAAGTTCACATGTAGATGGCTGTAGTTGGCCTCCTCACCTGGCCTCCTCACTCTATGATCTTCTGCCTGACTAGGGTGGTCTTGTTCCATCCTTGTGGTGCCTCTTTTCTCTGTCTCTTGCCTTTGATTAGATTTAGATTGGAAATAACTCCAGGAAGGACATGTCGCTTGGTTCTGTGTTAGTCGCAGTATTGCATCTTGTTTATTACCGGAGATTTCCGAGTGCAATGGTAATAAAAACAGTAATAACTGTAATGAGTGCGTCCAAACTATTAATTCCTGCATGATCCGTTTCAGATCCATCACTGATGCTCTTGCAAATGATGGATGACTGAAAGGCCACAAGATCCTTCAAGCACATGTCATTTTCTGGAATTGCCCTTCCTCACCCAAGTGACCTCAGAATACATTGCAAGAGATTTCCTTTGATTCGAAATCATTAGCTTCATATATTTTTCTTTAAAACCTGCCAGCTCTGCTGTGCTGAAAGGAAGGGTGTCTATGCACAAGGCAGGTTTAAAGAAGGTCTGACCTGATTAACTCCATCTGAAGCAAGGCCTGCTAACATCATCTCACGCTTATAGCACAGAGAATCGTCTCTTCTGCAGCATGAACCCAAGCGTAGCTCCTGTCACTTTTGATGGAAGTCACCCTACAGTTGACTGATCAAATCCTGAGTCCACGTGTACCCCTGTACATGACACCATTTTATTTTTTCTTTTCTTTTCAAGATTCTTCCCCGCTCTAATTATTTCTCAGCTTCAGCTATTCTGCTTACTTATACATACATCTTCAGCTAAATGGCTTAAAGGGGAAAAGAGATCTTTGCTGCCGCTTTGGAGAAAGAAGAAAAGTTGACCGGATAGGATTAATTTGCATAAGTTAGCAATTCAGCTCTGAGTTACGTTGTGAAGAGTTTAATACTGTCTTCCTTGGCATTTTCTCTTTTTTTTTTGTTTTATTTTACAAAGTTATTTTATTTTATTTTATTTTATTTTATTTATTTTATTTTATTTATTTTATGTGTTTGAAACTTGATTCCCATTAAAGCTGGAGAAACCACCAATGCAGTAAGCAGAAGGTTATCAGCATTAGCACACAGGCGATGGGATCTCAGGATAGCTAGCTGGCCTGAATTCAGTAAGACAAGGAGAGAGTGACAGACTGCGGTGTCTGGTTCAGTCCAGGAGTCTTGTTTTGCTGGGATCCATCCTTACAATTTAAGATCAATGCATGGTACCAACTTTGGGATCCCAGTCAGGATCAAAGGACTAAATGACTGTAAAGGTGATGAGGAGTTTCAGGCCCACAGTCCTTAAAGACACCGAGGTCATTAACTATCAATTAACTTAGCACAAACTACGCTCTTAAATACCTTTGCAGATTTATGCTACTGCTGTTAAACAGCTCTGGCCATCACTTGATCTTGCTCCTGGTTGCACTAACCATCCTTGGCAGCAAGGTAACATGCACTCTATCTCTGCCCTGCCTGAGCCCCCAGGTTTGTGGATTAAATTGCTGTTAAAAATGCCTGTCAGGGTCAGCTCTTGGCATCCAGTTTTGAGAAGATACGTACCCCAGCCAATCAAGATGTACCACCAAAAGTACTTCCTCTCAGAAAAGAAGGAGATGACCAACAGGGTGTGAAGATACAACCCCTCCACCAGGAGCCAGAAGAAGTTGGCCATGACGCAGTACTGGAAGAAAACCATCATGGCTTTGCAGCCTACCTGGAAGAGAAGAAACGAAGAGTGGTGAACTGCAGCATGTTCCATAGTAAACTGTATTGGGTTTGTGTGGCAAAGTTTTGGTAGATGGAGGAGGGGAGGGGCTACAGGGGTGGCTTCTGTGAGAAGCTGCCAGAAGCTTCCCCTGGGTCTGACAGAGCCAATGCCAGCCAGCTCCAAGATGGACCCACCGCTGGCCAAGGCTGAGCCCATCAGTGATGGTGGTAGCG